CATAGCTCGCTGCGCGACCTTAAATTGGTGGACCAGTCGCACTGTCACGTGTCCACGTCTCGGCTCCGTATGTCATTACTGGAAGGACGCACTCGTTGAAGACTTTAGTCTTCAGGCTTTGCGGTATCTAAACGGTATCTACTACCTAATTTAATACAAACTGCAAACTGCAAAAAGCAATAAAAGTATATTTTTAAATATAATACTAAATAAGAATAAATTGTACTTTATTTTTGTACTGTGTACTTTTTTTTCTTACTTATAATCGTCAATGTACTTTAAATACCAAAAAAATGCAACCCTAGCTATCAACCGAAATAAAACAACAACGAAACAACCTTGCCCGGACGTCGCACTTGCAAGTACCTACCTACTTACTTAATCACAATTATTTCGGGATGTTTACTAGGTCTTATAAAAATACGACTTTAATACCTACCTAGTTATTAATAGCTGTTTGGTAGTAGCTTCTTATCTACATACACACACACAACTTGTGTAAGTTGTGTACCTAAATAAGGGGCTTAAGGCATAGGCACTGATGTAAGGCATAGTCCACCTTTCACTGTTAAATGATTAAATGTATGAAGAAGAAAATGTTACAAATAAATATAAACAAAACGATTTGTTGCACACAAAAAGCAAGGCTTACTTTTTTCTTGAAGTTCTAAAAACATAAAACGCTGTACATTTCCTTAAAATACTACAACAAACAACACACAAAGAAAAAGATAACAAATAATAAACAAAACAAAAAAATAATAATAACAATACCTACTTACAATCACCACACACTCAATAAATCGAATATTCAAAAGATGGTAAGTATGTTGGTTTAATCGAGCTTTTCATAATATATTTTTTTATAATGAAGATTAAGGGCCTTCCTACCCTTCTTCCCAATCCTACCTGCGCCAAACTATACATTTGTCAAAATATTTGGTTGATTCTACGAATAGCAATTTAAACTTAATCAGAATGGGCCACAAGTAATTTCTGTGCACGGTTTGATAGCGACAGCGCAGTACCGAGCTGCCAGTCCCTGTCCTGCCTGCCTGTCCAGCAGTTACAATCGACTTAATCCTACATACATGACACACCATATGCAGTAAAACTAATGCCTAATATTAAATATTTCTCTGGTAAAATTTATGCGTGTTGGTATAAGTTAAATAGTACGATATGAGTACTCTGATTTTGTCAGAACCTTGGTAGGGAAATGTACCAAAATCATAACCCTTTTCTTACGATAAGGCGTTTTAGAAAACCCTGCGCGATTTTATATTGGGTACCTTTAAGAATAACAGCAAAAAAAAAATTAAAAAAAAAACAGTCAAATTGAGAACAGAATCTCCCCTTTTTTGGGAAATCGGTTAAAAATGAGGAGATTTGTTTAGTTGACCCCGTTGATACAGTTCGTATAATTATTTAGGGTGTTATCGCTATTCATTACTGGACCACTGTTATAAGTAATTCGACATTAGCGGAGTACTCATCACACAGTTGTCAGTATAGGTTGGGCTACCAACCGGTACTCTCTGTACAGTATTTATTTATTTTATTACTAGTTTAAAATCAATATTGTGTTCAGATTTTTTTATTTAATTTAATTTTAGAATAGAGTAGTATAATATTCATTATTTTTCGGTTGGTAAACATTTTGTGTGCACTAATAAAAGTTAGTTTTTTTGTAAATCCGTGTATACTCGATATAATGTGTTTTGTGAATATTTAGTACCTATTTAATCTCATATAGTTACTCACATAAATTACCTAAATTAGCATTGCAATTTCACGGCGCATCGTTATACATAGGCAAGTAATAAAAAGATTTACTTATTATTTTTATTTTATATGTTTAATTAACGCTTTGTTGTACCATTTGGCATCTTAATGCGTTGTTGTTTTCTACTTTTATGTGATGTATACCGATTCTGTGTTAATTACCTTCCATTCTCATAGTTATTTTTATGTAGTAATGACATATATTCGGTTAAAGTAAGTATATGATACTTTATTGCTAAAGCCACCTATGTCAATGACATCGAGTGATTTCCTGTATGATGTGGCTAGGATTCATTTCTGCGATAAGTGTTTAATTTCGTTAATATTTTTAGATTTGCAACTCTTATTATTAACCAGGAACTTAAAATAGGAACTGCATTATTAACTCTTTGAGTTATTAGCTCATTATAGACACAATTAAAGAACAATAGGTTGCGGCTACCGGTGTCTTTGCGGTGTTTGACAGTTAAAAAAAATCATTTAACATCGTGATCTCCGAAAGGGTATTAGCAGAGGGGGACCTATATATTCATTCACCTTTACCTCGGTAACGGTGTTGCATACTCCATTCCAAACTCCTAATGCTAACTACCTAAGTCCCTACTGACAATTTTCGAATCCTCAAAAATCCTAAATTATCTAAAAATAACGATTTATTCACGTACTTAAATATATTTTGAGAACCTTTACCAGTTACAAATCTGAAGTCACAGAGCCTTCCTCATGACATGAGCAGCGTGCGCCCATGGATAAGATTATTCACTCACATACCAGATGGTATTAAAAATACCTAGTCTCACCTGTGTCGTATTACGAGGCAGTTCGCAATGTCTACGTAATAATACATAAGTCTTTTGTTCTGGTTTATCAGTAGGTAGGTACGTAAACATGACATTCATGACTTTAAATCGCTTTTATCTCGTTAAGTTCGTCGACTAGCGACTAATAATAAAGGTCCACGCCCACTAAGCATTTATAATCAGACATCATCTTAAATTAGATAAAGCTAAAAAATCTTATATTCGGAGAGAAGTAAAATGTATAGTAGCTAGAAACGAATCTATTCCATGGGATTTTCGACTTTAGCAAAAACACATATAAAATTGAAAATCTAATAGCGAAGTTTAACAGAAAGTATCGTGGAAAGACAAGGGAATAGGGTAGATGACCAATATTTATTTTAATACCCGTCTGGTAGATTATTTAAAATCATTAGACACGTATTTTTTATTTTTTTACGGACAAAGTAACTTTCGACAATATATTGATTTGAATTATCGCGTGACGTCACTTGTGTACGTTTTATACTCAATCAAAAGTGACGCAGTTAGCTCTCCCTCCTAAACTTTGATTCGTTTTATTTAACTCTTCAACGATGTACAGGAACTAGCTTGAGTTTGGGTTTGTATAATTGGTATTGAGTATTTCTATACTCAATACCAATTATATATACCAATTACCTATGTGGATTATAAGTGGCAAAACGGGTCTTTGTACACTAAAAATGATAAAATAGTAAATAAAAACTGCGTTTAAGTATTGTTTTCTTATACGACAAAATAAATACGTGTCTAATATTTTTTAGTTACCTAACTGACGGACTAATTACATTTTTAATTTTCATACTTATCCTGTCATCATCCCTATTTCTACGTTTCTACTTAGCCAAGCCAATGACCATTCAGTGGTGACTGTATGCATTGGTTAGGTTACCAACTACTGCTAAACTGATTTGCCCAGCCAGACACTAAAATCAAGCGAAATGAAACTTAGTTCTGTTACAATAGCAATTAGGTATTTGCCATCATTATGATCATCACCAACGAGGGTTGCCACCCGTACCTACTTTATAATAAAGTTTTGTACGTTATTTAAGGTAATTGTACTCTAGGTATACTTTATAAGAATAATAAAGTACACGAAAATACTTTTTTTTTGCAAACTTCTATTAAAGTCGTAAATATTTTTCAGTAAACTTATCGATTCGATATCGACATTTATCGATTTATGTTAAATCGATTTCGCCACTCGTCAGCGCCACTTAGACAATTTCTAGTAAAGATGCAATTGTTTACTAAAGATACTAATTTAATGCAAAATGCAAAAAGCAATAAAAATATATTTTTAAATATAATACTAAATAAGAATAAATTGTACTTTACTTTCATACTAAGTATGTACTGTTTTTTCTTACCTATAATCGTCAATGTACTTTAAATAGGTACCCAAAAAAAGGTGGCATACCTATCACCAACCGAAAGACGTCCCCTACAGAACAATGTCCTTACTCCTCCCCCTTCATCCTCCACGGCGAACGACAACTCACCTTCTAGGCTTTAGATATTGACCTAGTGGGTGCTTCAAAAGTTGTTACTAACTCAATAAAACTGCAAGCGAAACGTGAGTTCTCCCTTATCAGTCAACCTTCGACACACAAAACAAACACACTAACAGATAATAAGGTCAGATTAGAAAAATTCCCAGTAATAGTTTACTTGGTTCAGTAACAGCAGTCGCAAATATTACAGCCGAACATACAAAAAGACTTTTTTTATCACCTGATGGTAAGCAATCGGCGTCGCCCATGGACACCTGGAACACCAGAGGCGTTACAAGTGCGTTACCGGCCTTTTGGGGATCAGGAGTTTGAGGATCGTTGGGGATTCAGGAATTGGGGAGATTGGGGAAGGGGAGGGTAATTGGGCCTCCGGTAACCTCACTCACACGACGAAACACAACGCAAGCGTGAGGCAGTGGTATCACTCCGGTCGAGCCGGCCCATTCGCGCCGAAGCATGGCACTTCCACACTTGAGACTCACGAGGTTTCACCGACTGGGGCTACAGGGCAAAGTTCTAATAGGTATTGGAAACTCCTATAGAAAATTAACCCATGGTCATTTTAGTAGTGTGAGAGGAGGTAGTCAGGTAGGCTAGGTGTGTCCAACCTAGTCCACTTCAGTTCGTACATACATGTCAGATAGCAGATACATTATCGTGTTATTATGTAAATATCTATATCAAAGGCCAGCACCTGTGACTCCGCTGGTGTTGCAGGTGTCTATGGAAGGCGCTGATCGTTCTACTCGTTTGCCTCCTATTCCATAAAAAAATATGTTATTATCTACACAGGCTTTTGTTTTCTCGTCGTGTAGAAGAAGGATTGGAAAGAGTATCGTTGACTCTTACTTGAAATATTTCATCGCCTGGCAACATCATGTCGCGACCTGACCCTACCCGGAGATCTATGAGCTACCCGGAAGCAAGTCAAAGCAATAAGTAAGTGTTATGTATTTCTAAAATTAAGTAGGTACCTAATAGGGAAGTCCGTCCGAAGTCCGTAAGTTAGGTAATGAAAAAATATTAGACACGTATTTTTTTATTTTGTCGTATAATAAAACAATACTTAGATAAAACGAATCAAAGTTAAGGAGTGGGGGCTAAAACGTCATTTCTACGTATAAAATGTACATAGAAGTGACGTCACGCGACATTTCAAATCAATATATCGTCGAAAGTATACATTTCTGTAAGAAATTAAAAAAATACGTGTCTAATGATTTAAAATAATCTAATAGACGGACATTAAAATAAAAATTAGGCATCTACTCTATTGTCTGTGCTATGGTTGCCTAGAGCTTTGAGTAATTTTGGTTTTGAAATCGATATTTTTATACTAGCAGTGAGAGGGTTTATAATCATAAGAGTTAAAAACTAAACAATCACATTATACAATATACTTACATGTTATCAAAGCATCACTTGAAGTATGACAGTTCACATATGTAGGTCATTATTCATTATGTATATTTATGTAATTTATATGATAAACATGGCAATGATTTGAATCATGTCCATTAATAAAAAAAATGTGAATGACACCGAGTTTCGGGGAAACCTGTAAGCCTATATACCGCAAACGCGATTATTGAGCGAGAGGGGTTCTTATAGGCTCAGATCTGTTGCTCGGGACTCACAACTAGCGGTGTACAAAACTGAGACGGAAAACTTGAGAGCGCCTACGCAAGCACCTCGTAGGCGCCTTTAACTTCAGCTGGAGCTGGGTACGCGACGCTCTCGGCGCTCCTCTATAACCAGACACCCTTTTTTTGAGGGGGGAAAATCATCCTATGGCTTCTCCCGCCCGCGGAGGCGAGAGGGAGTATCAGACTCTTACTGACTAAAAACCACCCCGTTCCTACTCCTGGACTTCGAGCCGGAGCCCCGGTAACCCGTTAAGTCTTTCACAGCTCCGTATATAACCAAACACCCTAGGTGTTTGCCTTTAGGATAATACCGATAATACGGCTCATCACTATGACTACATAGTACGTATATAAAACAAAGTCGCTATCGGCCGTCTGTCTGTCCCTATGTATGCTTAGATCTTTAAAACTACGCAACGGATTTTGATGCGGTTTTTTTAAATAGATAGAGTGATTCTTAAGGAAGGTTTATATACATGAATATAGAACCCGTGCGAAGCCGGGGCGGGTCGCTATTATACCTATATATAATTGTGACGTGCATGTGATATTATGTTTGTGTACGCATGACACGAAAGAGTGTCGCTTCAGAGAATAACAGAATCTAAACGAGACACATTTTCCTCAGTGCGGCCGAACCAGTGGCATCAACAAGTAGTGCGTGGACGACTCCAACGACCCCAACTAATGGACCTTTTCTCAGCATCGCAGTACAACCGGAGAAGTATAAAAGGTAAACATTTTGACTTCAGGTACATAGGTCTTCTTAGCCACTTAAGTGATGTGACTACACTATTTCACCGGTAGATATTCAAATAAAATTAATGCACATAGCTTATCACAATTCTCATACGAAACTACATATATACTTGACTGCGTCGTTGACCTCGGGTCTCGGGTTCGATTCCCGGATCAGGCAAATTATAACTGAGCTTTTAAAAAAAATCTCAGAAGTAACACGAAATCTGGAATTGTGCACGCCGTGCCCGGCAATAGACTCACCCCCTATTACATAGGAATAATAACATAAATAGTGAAAAGTGAATGTTACATTGTACAGTGGCATTAAGTGTCATAATGTGCACCTCTGTCTATCTCTTAGTTAGGGGGTAAAGGCAGGATGTTATGCCATGTATATAGTTACTACCTACATAATCCATAACAACAAAATCATTATCACAACGGTATTGCAAACATTCCTTCTTTGGTATAAATCTCAATTACATTGTTTTGGTTATTTACCTATGTAGCTTTTATGAACGGGACGAATCACGGATACAGACTTATCTCAGGTCAGCCTTATCAACATCTCGATGCTATTTTTGCGAAGTATCAGGGTGGACCCGAATCATTAGGAAAAATAACAATATCTGTTATTGCAATAATATTGTTGTGTTTTTGAACTTCAACCTTGCATGTTTTTAATCTCTTGACTTAGGTAGTAGGTAGGTCACATAACAAATGTGCAATCTAATTGTTGCTTGGGTAAACAACACCAAAAGTAATACGAACTATGATTCTAAAACAGAATCAGGTGGAGCATGAAAAGTGATGAATAGCAGTCGTATTTATCAACGACCTTTTCGCTATCGTCTGGTTCTTTAATTTTTTTTTGTCTGCCTCGTTGACCGAGTTGTTGCAAGTGCGACTACCGGGCAAGGGGTCTCGGGTTCGATTCCCGGGTCGGGCAAAGTATTAATGGATTTAAAAAAAAATCTCAGTAGTAGCACGGAGTCTGGAATTGTGCCCGGTATATGGCAATAGGCTCACCCCCTATTACACGAGATGTATAACATAATTAGTGAAAAGTGGGTGTTACTTCTGTGGGCATCTCTGCCTACCCCATCGGGGATAAAAGGCGTGATGTTATGTTATGTTATGTTATGTTATGTTATGCTATTTATTTATATAGATAAACCAACAGTTTCTGTATACATGTATTAAGAGATAATAAAGGTAACAATAGGTATTGGGCTTATACAGTCGCCAATATTACAATTAAGTGATAAATAAAAACTATACAAACGAACAAAGACAATAACATTTTAGTAACTGAAATAAAAAAAACTTCAATTTTAAATGTTTTGCTTCTGGAGTATGGAAACTTATGCTAAAGGAGCTTTTTTGAAGTAACCATTTGTCGATGTTGACAGATTTCGTTACGAAGACGAATTGACTTCAACAACCGTACTCCAAGGTGCAAAGACTACCACTGAAGGTGACGATGATGAAATCACAACATACCCCACGCTTATGGTAAACAATGTAGAGAAGCATGACAAAGCACTCATCGTCATTTCAACCGTCACTGCCAACGAACCATTTAGGTAAGTCAACGTTTCTTAAAATTAAAGTTAAAATGAAATAAAAATAAAAATAAAATAAGCCTTTATTACTGTGGTTACAAATTTACAATTTAGTCTCTATTACTATACTATACATCAGTAGTTTTATCCCCAGCTTGTCCTTCGACATAGGCCTCCTCCAAAGATTTCCAGTTTTCCCTATCCCTCGCAATTCTCATCCACTCTAGTCCAGCAGTTTTCCTTAGGTTATCTTCCCAACGTTTTGGTTGTCGCCCTTTGCTCCTTTTCCCATCTCTGGGGTACCATTCTGATATTGTCTTTGTCCATTTCATATTCCTCTCTCTTATCTCTCTCTCTCTTATGCCCATTGGCATTTTAGTGTTTTACATAATTTCCCTGCATCTTTAAATTTAGTTATTTCCTTAATTTTTTCCAGTCTTACCTTATCTTGTCTTTTTACCTCAATTACACTTCTCTCTATTCTGTTTTGGCATACATTTATTTTTCTTTTTAAATTATCCGTTAGTACCCATGTTTGGCACTATGTCAAACATGGCAGAATACATGTGTTGTACAGTTTTCTTTTCTCTTTCATTGGCATGTCTCGATTTTTCAAATTAAAGTTAAGGCTTTCCAATTCAATTATGCCATACACAGGTCTCTGATGTTTTTTATGGCACAAGCCGGTAAACGAGCAGGCGGATCACCTGATGGTAAGCAATCGGCGTTGCCCATGGACACCTGGAACACCAGAGACGTTACAAGTGCATTTCCGGCCTTTTGGGGATTAGAAGTTTGAGGAACGTTGGGGATTCAGGAATTGGGGTGATTGGGGAAGGGGAGGGTAATTGTTGCCGACCAGGCAAGTTTGGAGATTGTGGCAATCCCTCACAATCGTGTGTAGAGGAAGACCTCCTCGGAGGTTCATACTCTACCAATAGACTGTAAGGGACTGTTGATAATGAGGATGATAACGATATAAAAGTACATCAAACTTTAATTGGTTCTACATTCAGGCTATTAGTGAAGGTTCTTCGTTCCACAATAATAAAAGAGCTGGAGTGTCACCATTGAAATATAATATTATAGAAACGTTTCAGTGTGTAGGTTTTTATTGATTTCTATATTCAAAATAACTTTTTGCATGGACTTGAGATGCGGAGGTTCCGTATAACATTATACCTTTATTGATACCACACAGAGCTCATCCCAACGGACTGATGGGGAGGAATTGCTTCTCCTACGTGTACTCAAAAGAAGTTGAGCTCCGTCCAGGGAATAATATGATTGTATTCAACGACCTCCGCATCATAAGGGTAAAGACGGCTGATTACAAACATGCGCTCAGGATTAGAGAAGTTCAGAAAGTTGATCCCTTTCAAAGTGAGTTTCATTACATTTTAACACTTCTCCTATTTTTAATCTTAAGTTCAGTTTAAAAAAATCCTGGAAGGCCTTTCTCGGCTTTGTTTTGTAAAGTCTACCGACACGTATTATTTGTAAAATGGAAAGAATCGGGACTACAATCATCTACCATATACATATTAATGTTATATATTATTTCTCCAAGGACTCTTGGTCCGTTCCCGTGCCCTTGTCATAAAATTTTTTTGCAATACGTCTAATCAACATTTGCTAAGTACCCAGTTACACACGATAATTAATCACATATTAATGCAAGAATAAAATACATGATAATACTATATGGATATTACATAATATCCTTAGCGGGTTCTAGAGGGTATTGTTTAGACCCATCGTAATTATTTTGAGTAGGTAACTATAACGCTCAAACCTTATCCGTGTGAGAAAAGGCTGTGCTCAGCAGTGGGCATTTAAAGGCCATTGATGATGATGATGACGACTGTCATACATGTAGTATGACAATTACAGCCGTATACAACGGAACTTTGGTTGAACAACATACAACAATGTCAATATTCATTTATTACAGAGGGGTTCAGACATGAACTTACCAAGGACTTCACGCTTACTGAGCTGCGCCTGTGTTTTGAAGTGAAACTACGCAGGTGCAAGAAAGTACTGGAGCCGATAGTGTCTAATCCTATCTATAACACGAGGAGATCTACCAAGCCACAGATACACCATTACGCCCCCGGGTCAGGCAGCGCTAAGGGCGGGGCCAAACTTCTCATCTTGTGTTCTGTGGTCAGTGCTATAGTCTTATACTTCCACATATTTTACAAGGACGAAGTTTTTCATTCACCGTATTTTGCCACCTTGCCCATTACCTTGTTTATCTTCTTACTCGCTGTAGGTACTAAGCATTATTCTACCTTCTAATGTTTTGTGTTCATTTTTAGAGCGCCACTCTCTGCGATATTTGAGCTTTTATCACACTGCAGTTATTCCAGGTAAAGGAAGAGATCGAAGTAGTATTCTTCACGAAGCCTAGTGACAGTGAACCGGCTTGGGAGTCCCATGCGATGGGTTTGAAGGTGCATGGCACTCAGTCGCTGTACTGTTTCGCGCCGCCCTACCGAGACACCAACATCAAGGAAAGTGTTACTGTAAGTATCTACTGCGCTGCATCGGCTGCATATACGATTGATAACAGATAAGTTCGTGAGACATACTAATTAATTATTATGTTTTCGGCTTACTCACGTAACTGTTCGACGAGGAACTTGACCAGTTCAAGCCATGCTAGAAGCTCATATTCATGAGCAGGATTCCGCGACCAAATGTCCAACTTGGCTTGAAACTAGTCGTGTTCCTCGTCAAAAAGTTAAGTGAGTAGGTAAGCCGAAAACATCATCATCATCATCATCATCAACAGCCTATAAATGCCCACTGCTGAGCAAAGCCTCTTCTCACACGGAGAAGTTAGAGCATTAATCACCACGCTTGCTCAATGCGGGTTGGCGATTTCAAACTTATAATTAGAAATTATAAAGTCCAGGTTTCCTCACGATGTTTTTCCTTCACCGTTTGTCAGTGGTGTCTAAATAATCTTAGAAAGTACATATAACTCGGAAAAAGTCACATTGGTACTTGCCGTTGGTAGGTTTCGAACCCGCACCCTCATGCATGAGAAGTGGGTGTCTTAAACCTCCGGGCCACCACGACATATAATTTGAATTTTATTTTATACTTTTTGTATATTTTCATCGTACCTACTTCGTTCATATATTATATTTATACAGGTACAGTTAGTTATCTATGTAGGTATAATGTGAATCTACATTATATTGTTGTTTGTTTGTAACTAGGTCTACTTTGAATTGAGGAGAAAATCAGACGACACTCGAAGCAATGCTGAGAAATTTCATTATTTGCCGTATGATACTGATGGTAAGACTTCTGCGTATTTTTTAAGATCACTGTATTAACATTTTTCTTCTCCTTATGTGTATAGTAGTATGTAACAATAGTAGGTTTAGAAAACAATTGATATTTGAGAGTTTTTAGTATAGAAGAATTGTCAAATGTTCGTAGTTATTCCTCAGTTAAAATTTATCTGGCGATGGTAAAATCGGCCCTTAGAAGTAAAGTAGAATAAAATTGTAACCATCTCTTTGAATTTGATTTAATTCTTTTTTATTGGACATTTCAAAATAACTGTCAAAACATCGAAACGAACCTTGTTATTTTAGTCGGTTAGAATGAATACTACATTAAAGCGTATAGGTACCTGAGTGTGCAGAGGACATGGTGTCCTAAGCTTCCGGCTGACGCAGGCGCTTTCGGGTAATGGCTGTTTTGGAAAGTACTTGTTTCGCATAAGCCGGGAGCAGACATCGGCGTGTCATCACTGCAATGACAATTTGGAGGATACGGCGCGGTATACGCTAACAGTATACCTACTGTATGGGCAGAGCTGCGTCGTGAACTCATTACAGTGTTCGGCGGGAATGATCTCTCATTGCCGACCGTAGTGCGAGCTATGGTCGACTGTGAGAGTGCATGAGACGGAGTCCAACTCCCTCCCCTCCCGCCGTAGACGTGCTAGTCGTCAACGCTGCGAGGTGGTAACCGATCTGCGACCTCCAAAGCAGAGGGCCGCGGATGACTGACAAGGAGAATCAGTCATCCGCTATATGGGCGGGAGTAAGCGTTAGCGTTGTGTTCCACGCGCGCCAGTCTAGGAAGAAAGTCAGCCTGTAAGGGCTGCTTCGTGGGGACCTTCCACAGTATAGTGGTAGGTCGAGGCCTGCCGGTAACGGTGATTCCGTAAGGGCGTCCCGGGTCACGGCTTCAAGCAAAGGAAGAACACCGCGTTGGTTTTAGTTGGTAAGAGTCCGGTCGTCCCCACGACGTAGGAAGCCCATGCGAATTTCCATCGCGTTATAATAAAATTATTGATTTATTTTTAATTCACAAGCAAGCAACAACTTTCTGTCTTACGGGATCTAAATATACGGATGTCTTTATTATTTGATAATTAATGTACACTGTCACTGTTTCAGAGGAGATTGTAAACAGGAAGAAATTGAAAATTATAGATCCAACTCTAAGTTTGTTTCACCAGGGTAAGTTTAGATAAATGACAACTTATACGTACCTATCTTAATTAAATAGAAATAATTTCCTATATCTTACAATATTGTTACAGAGAGCAGTGCTTGCGGAAACTTATCGCCACTTACAACTGATGATTTCCAACTGGTAAGTAGAAAATAATAGAAAAATACGATCTCCCCCACAAAAATATTAAAAGCCTACTGCTAATACAATACCGATAGTAGTTTTTCCGACCGGGATAAATCTGGAACTCGAAAGCTTATTTTGTTATTATTTGCTAATTTCAGTTTCTCCCTTCTCTGTCCTGGAATAAACCAGCTGATAGAGACGACGCTGATGGCAACATGCACGCTAGCGACCAGGTTATATCAACTCCAAACCCAAGTAATAATGACAGTCGCTGGTCAGGACCGACACCCGTCCCCAATAATAGAAATCCCTTCATTGAAATTCCGCCAGAACCTAGTCATTCTAACCGTGAATTTTACAGACAAAGCTCTATCAATTTGCCTGTATTACACAACACGCAAATTAACTCAGCAATCATGAATAGTGATGAGCAATGCAGGTCACAAATGCAACTCATAATAGAAACGTCACAGAATATGATGCAGTCCACACAACCGAATTGGCACCGTATGACACAAAATACCCAACCGACGCTAACCAACGCGGGCCAAATGTCCTATAATGTACCAGTGCAATCAAATACTTTGCAAGGAGACATACAAACTGCTCAGAACGGGCTATCTGGGCAATATAACGGGTACGATATATCAGACGAAATGCAATGGATGTCACAAAATACACAGTATTACTCAAATAATGCTCAATCTCCTGAATATCCGCAACAGAATATGCAATCCGCGTCGATGGCGATGGAAACGCAATGCACATACCCTACCAGCAGAGCCAACTTTTGCCAAAATTGCAATCGATTACAAAATGAACCCGAACAAGTAATGTATGTAGAACATAACGGCGGAAATGAAGAGTGCTTACCTGGCAACGATTCAGATGATTTTTTTTTATTATAAGTATATTATATGCAAAAGTATAATTCCCATTTATTAGCTACTAGCTTTTACCCGCGGCTTCGCTCGCGGCCCAAAAGGATAAAAAGTAGCCTATGTGACATATACCAATACATACAGCGCCATCTATACCAATACTTTTGTTTTTCCTCGGGAATATCAAATTTTTCCGGGATAAAAAGTACCCTATTATTTAATCCAGACTTCTAACTTTACGTCTGCAAAATTTCAAAGCAATCGGTTTAGTAGTTACGGCGTGAAAGTGGAACAAACAAACAAACTCACTTTCCGATTTATAATATTAGTAAGGATAAGGATTTATTTATTTATTTACATATTATAAAAATCTTCCTACACTCTCATTACAGAATTTTCCCAATTCGACAGTGAGGCTTAAACTGTCAAACACCAAGCGGTCACCGGTGACCGCGATCTATTGTTCTTTAATTGTGTCTATAAATACGGTACTCGACGAGTTAATCTAGTTAAAAAAAAACATATTTATATTACTTAGGTACTATAAAGAAGTAATACAACGAAAACAAAAAAAAAATTAAACACAAAGATAATAAAGTAGGCCTTACAATATATACACATTACATATTAATCTATTAAATTACCTACCTTACATAATAATAACTAAAACTAACCTAAAATTACATAAAAATAATATACAATAGTAGGAACTATTCACTATCATAACTTAAAATAAATAATAGATAGTATTTTTGTGAATTCACTCAAAGGAGTTGTAATAAAAACTGCGTTTAAAAAACCGACTTCAAAAAACCAAAAACTAATAACAAACAAAAAGTCAAAACTAAAAAGCAAAAAATAACTATTATTAGTACTGATAGGTTACCCACCCACTGATAGGTAAGAAGTCACAACAAGAAAAACATAACAGACGCATTACTCGCCCATACAATTTTCGAAAGTTCCCCTCGGTTTCCCTAGGATTCCATCATCAGATCCTGACCTCATAGAAATGGGACCATCTCGGGAGTATACCCTTTCAATCAAAACAAGAATTTTCGAAATCGGTTCACAAATGGCGGAGTACTGGGCGAACAAACATCAGCCAAACATAGTACCTCCTCCTTTTTTTTAAGTCGGTAAAAATATCAATACGATGGTTGAGCTTATTAATGGTATGGATTGCGTGAGTCACTGATTAAGAAAATGGAATCCCTAGTTAGTGAGCAAGACCACCAATCCCTCTGCCAAGATTGTCACGACAAAGGAGAAGAACCACCAAAAGTGACAGATACTAAAGTGAGGACTGATATTAAAGATAGTAATGAAATCAAGTTATGTCGTTAAGAAAAGTGTTCAATTTATTAGTCTTAAGGTTTATTTTAGTCAGTCAAATGCAGTGTCATCACATCACATCCTGGGCTACTGCCTACATAGGTACACACGGCCACACATCAACCTATACAAAACCAGTTTATCCTGGTGTCGCGTCGTATCATCTTTCCGCACATTTAACGTTCAGTTTATACTGGTTATGTAAAGCTCGATGTGTATTGATAAATCAAACCAAAAGTAGATTATTTTAGAGGTATAGTCTTATTATATATTGTTTTATAAGTATCCATTTATTGGCTTAGTAAATGTAAGTTAGTAGGTAAATATATTACATAACATCACGCCATTTATCCCCGAAGGGGTAGGCAGAGGTATACATTATGCCACTGTACAATGTAACATTCACTTTTCACTATTTATGTCATGAGTTCCATGTAATAGGGGGTGAGTCTATTGCCATATGCTGGGCACAATTCTAGACTCCGTGCTACTACTGAGAATTTATAAAAAACCCAGTAATACATTGCCCGACACGGGAGTCGAACCCCTTGCGTGGCAGTCGCATTTGCGTCCACTCGGCCATCGATTCAGAGAGTCAGTCATGTAAATATATTATACAACTATTATTCATCATCAACAGCCCGCTACATACATCATCACCTGCTGAACTGAGCCTCCTTTACATATGTGTGTTAGGTATAATCTCTACAATTATCAGGCGATCTCTATAGCAGTATTCGCATACCAAGTCCCTGGTTCAGCAGTGCTCCTACCCTGCCACTACCGAACGGCTAAAACACTAGGTTTATTTTTTCTATTACGTTTAAGTATTTCGGTGTAAGTTCCTAATTTTACCAAAGACAACAACAATAAGAGTTTTGATAAACATGATTGTAAATAGTATTAAAAATCCATGTAACACGTACCTAAACAAACTGAAGTGAACGCAAAATGTATTACACAAGATTTCGCTTTTTATACCTACCTCAAACTACTAAATGTCTCTTGTATTGTATACCTTACCTATTAGATATAATATTATGATATTATGTTAAATGTAACTAATATTTTATTATATTGTTGTTATTAGTGTTTAAAGTAAATTAAAATAAAATGTATATTTTTTAATTTTAATTGTTTGTTTTTATTTGTTGCTGTTTTTACCTTGAACGATCAAAGAACTGAAGTTCGATTTTTGTATCCTGTATAAAGGTGCTCCCTCACCGGGAGCATTCACCTGTAATGTAACATTACCTATATGTAGATTCAACTTTGAGCATTACATTACAATAATACCTCCCTGACTAACGAGCATATGCATGTAATGTAACATATTGATTCGACTTTGAGCATTGATGTTACAAGTTGTATCAAGATATTACACATTGTATCATTATAAGGTGCGCATTGTAGAGCTCGGTTCTTCTCCTTCACTGATGTATACCCGTATTGTATCATTATTACAAGGTGCGCATTGTAATGCTCGGTTCTCCTTCTTCGCTGATGTGATGCTCAGATCTGTAACGTTACACTACACGTGAATGCTCCCGGTGAGGGAGCACCTTAATATACTCAATACTTTATCGCTTTTCACATGTATTACTTAGGTGGTAAACATAATAATTAGGCCACAATGTGAACCCTGTCGGGCACAACAATATAAGTTTTGGAGAGGAGCACACTTGACATGTCATTCGTAGAATAAAAAAAAAAAATAATAAATAATTAACCTACAATAAAATTCATATCAAATGGAATACAAGATAAAGGTATAATTGAATTTGTAGTATTTAGGAGTCGAGTCATTTTTTAAGGGCTCTATGTCATTGTAACTAGACATGTCATTGTAAACCATTAAGCTGAATCTGACACGTAGGTAGTCTGAAGTTTATTTGGCTTTATATAAAAAATCGACCTGGCTATAGGGACACGAAATAAGTATCGATGCTTTGTGGTATCGAGTACATTCCCATTCGATATCGATATTTTTGTACTCGATACTTTGCATTCGATACTTTTACTCAATAAGTACCTTTTCCTAGGTATCGTATCGAATGAAAAATTGGTTTAACAGCGCCAAGTAGTTAACTCGTTGAAAACTTTTTTAATCGATCGATTGAAGTTATTTTTATGGCTATTGAAATATAACTAATAATATTTAGGAATAAGTACACCTATTCCATAAAAAAAAACCTCTACTTTTACCTGACGACATAATCATCGGTATCATATTATGTCCTGTTATCGTAGACATAATGTGCGTTATTTATGTCAAGAAAACTTAAATAAAATTATCAAGTAAGTAATAATTTACGAGTAAAGTACCACAGATGTTAAATAAATTGAGCTTAACATAAAAGCTTGTAACACTATACTGTCAATGTCATTAATTATGGTATGGCACCTGTTGCCATGGCACCGAGTACGAGTTCCTTGTAGAATTTTTTAAATTGTTTTAAATTTAAGCATGGGAAAATGAGATAGAACTAGAAATAAAAGCGTGAACAACAGAGTAGGCACATAGGAAGAAATATTGAAAAATGTGTCGCACGCATTTATGTATTTGCGAATGGAATAGAATGTAAACAAAAAATACAAGACTCATAGACAGCTTGTGTTTTCAATTAAAATTCAATTCAACAATGAATGAGTTAAACGCAAACGTACCGGAGCCTAAAAAAGTAGGCGTCTGGGCAGAAGGCACACACATCGAAGCGAAGTAATGATCTGTACAAACTTCATTTAAATATTTTAAACGAAGTGTAAAAATTTTGTAACATGTATTTCATTTTATTTACATTTTGTTTTAGAGAGTTTGTTATACCTAAGAAGTCGCCAGATTCCAGTGATGATATACCAACAATACCAGATCTAGATGATTTGCAAGATATCTTGGAAAAAGAAATAACTACACCACCGGTGTAAGTATAGTAGGTAGTTGCAGACCTTTGAAAATCCAAATTTGTATGTAAATAACCATGTTAATAAATACCTACTCAAAAGGAATAAATACTGAGTTAATACTAAGTATGTATCAGTTATTACGAGTATTTCTCTCAAAAATCATTCATTTCTACTTTTTAATAAACAATATTAATGAATTAATTTATAAACTTATATTCTTACATACCTCATTTGCTTATCTGTAAGGATAATAGCAATTAGGTTCATATTAGTGTAGCATAGTCTCTGCTTATCCCCATAGGAGACAAGTGTGAGGTATGTATGTATCAATGAGTAAATAAACAATACTCTTTGCTTTTCCTATGATCAGGTCTGATCAAAAAGACACAGAAACAGTGAACACTCTTTCTGAAGTTGGAGGTGGAATATCGGGAGCTGCTGGGAGCATCGAAGCTGTACTAGAAGTACTCAACTCTTACATACCTCAGGAGGAGATGGACTCCGCTGACACTGTGTGGACTGTGGACTCCTTGCTTCAGGAACTGGCTGAAGAAAGTCAGGAATAGGTTGGTCTTGGGGTATATTTTCTCACAAACACATCACAAATTCTATGATACATACCTATTGACTGTGACTAAAAATGATTCTGAATAATTTGTCAACTATAATATATAATTCTCCTCTGCCGACTGCCTCGTTCGCCGAGTGGTCGCAAGTGCGACTGCCGGGCAAGGGGTCTCGGGTTCGATTCCCGGGTCGGGCAAAGTATTACTGGATTTAAAAAAAAAATCACAGTAGTAGCACGGAGTCTGGAATTGTGCCCGGTATATGGCAATAGGCTCACCCCCTATTACATGGGACTCATAACATAAATAGTGAAAAGTGGGTGTTACATTGTAGTGGTATAATGTGCACCTCTGCCTACCCCATCGGGAATAAAAGGCGTGATGTTATGTTATGTTATAATATATAATTAGGTATGTTTATAAGGGAGTAGACTCCAACTATAGTCTAACTTTTTTGTGATTGCACTTTGTGCGTGACATCATAGATTTTTGAGTTATTTATCTTTAATTGACTAACAATAATAATAGTTTTTCAGTATTTTGAAATATAATCCATTTACTAGGAGAAATAGTTTTATTTATATTTAGGTACATTTAATAAACTCGAATAGTAAAAAGCTTTAGAAAATTAAGCAACAACATTAAGTGTATTTTTATTTAATATTTAAGAAGGTAAATATTTGCAAAAGTACTAATGAATTAAAATATTAGAAAAAAAACAAGTGTCTTTAAAGTTTGATGTCTACCAAGTGTATCATTAAGTTTGATGAAATTGAAAAACAAAAAATTACTTGTCATTGTTTTATTCGTAAAAACGTTTATTCGTAATATGACTATTATTAAATACTGTGCTATAATAACAGTTATTGTAACAAATTCTCCGTCCAATTATTATTTATACATAGACTAAGGAATGATTGTTCTCACTTATTGTAAAAAAATAAATAATTACAATATGAAATCATTATGGTTGTACATTAATTTTCGCATTAGTTATCTGGTTTCTTTTACAATGTTATTGCTTATATTATAATTTTAATTATAAAAAAATATTTTATGAGCATTAAACAATAAATAGTGAATCAACATTATTTACATCGACATTTTTTTATTGTTATATATTTATTTGAGAGCTCGCTCTTATATATTTTTTTTTTAGATATTCATGCCGATAATTTTGCAGTATTGGGTTAAATACCCGTGTTAGATTGTTTTTACATCGGCTAGTCAACGAAACACTATTACCTAAGAAAATATATTTAAGATATTTCTGTCCATTTTCGTGAAGTGCAGTCAAACCTTTTTCTCAATCAATTCATGTTCAGGCACTTTCGAAGCTTCGAAATTAGAATTGTCCCTCAATCTGTTTGTCAGAGAAGCCAAGGCATTGTAATGTTACACTAATTTAATCATTGAAAATCTCATAGTAATGCAAGCTTGAGTTGCAACTCATTACTTGCATATTTAGTGTTTGGCTAAACTACCACGACGCGTCAACTTACACTAAATGTATTGCTAAGGAGATGTCAGTCCATACATTACATTTCGCATAGGTACTTTGTATTATAATATTACTGTTACCAACAATTTCAAGCATACATTAGCTATCTCATTTGTGAGGAAGCAAAGCGTTTTACATAATTCTATTGAGTTTAACTAAGCTTGGAAGTTACTGTTAACTGATTTTAAATAAGGAGGTTCCCATTTCGACTGTATATTTTTTATAGGATAAGCTGATAAAGGAGCATACGGATCACCCACAGAAATATATTTATGGTATCTATGGGATCTCCGGACACCAGAGGTACAAGTGCGTTACCGGTCTTTTGGGGATTAAGAATTTGAAGATGGTATCACTTCGGTCTACCAATTATTCGTGCCGAAGCACACATGAGGCTCTCCCACACTTATAGGTAAAGGCCAAGGGAGACATATCATAAATAAACATTTTAGGTCAATATCTAAATACCTAAATAGTTGCTTATAGGTGTAGGTACATAGACAGCCAATGCTCACAAAAATTACTTCAACACATTTTTCCCAGAGGGAGATCGACAGTCAGAGTCACACCTATTCTCATCAGTCAAGTTAAGGGTCTGTGTACTTCGTGCTACTATTGTCAATTTGGAAATCCAATAACTCAATCTTAGGATCCAAGTCGAGAACTCGGGGATCTTGTTGCTTATTTGTTGGACTTGCAACCAGTGAGGCAGTTAAAAAGTTACATGACCTTTGTATAAAGCTTAATTCATGATCTTACAATCTCTTGCAACCTACATCTAATGTTTTAATTTCATGTCTTTCAGAGCCATTCCTTTGAACGACGTGAAACCGTATAAGGGATGTCATCCTAAACAATTTCTTTACTTTACAAATATCTCTCGCGCTATAACAAAACCTATCTCGGCATCTATTACTAGCTGTTTGCTAACACAAACCTCTAATATACTACAAAATTTATATTTTTTCTAGCTATTCTGGAATTGGGATTCATTTGATCTAACTAGAAACTGTATTTATTTATTACTATTTCAAGGCCTAATCTAAGTGAATGGTAAGGAACAACAAGTCAACTAGGAATCTATAAAACTTGTAGCCCAAGATTATAGGATCTCGTCAAAAATTGAACTGGATTGAAAATACTTCAAGATACTGATCAATTTTTGAAAGGCCCTGTACTACATGGGTTGTCCTGTTCAAGCATATGCGCTTATCAAATCAAATTGTGTTCTAAATGCATTTTTCAATGAAAACAATCCCTGTATAATGTTAAAATTTCTCAGTGCAGTCTAATAATTTCTTCAAGACAATTTCTGAATATCTTATTTCTATGATCTCGAGGAAATACTTTGCATGAGACTCCTGGCTGACCCACCGGCTGTTCTGAAGGCAATGTAGGCTGTGATCGCTAAAACTATGTACGAAGGCAAGATAGTAGCTGCATATAACTCCTTACTGTTCAAAAGACTGAGTCCGGAGACAAAGAAATGTGATACTATGACCCATCCCACTTTGACATAGTTCTTATCATCAAATCCACTGAAGAATATGACACTCCAGAATGTGTTGAGTAATATCATGCATAGTGTCATAGCAGCACTCGTCACAAAAAAGTACTCCGTGCCTGTGTGGAGGCCTAGAGTTCCTGGACCAACCTGGAAAGTGGACGATAATATTATAATAAGGCATTTAGATAATTATTTTATTTGAACTTGAAATTAAATGTGTCTGTTAAAGGTGTGGTTGATTATGGAATAGGTTACAAAATTTTGCACAGTAAACTGATCTTCTAGACTGTGATAAGGTTAATAACTAGTTAAACACTTACAGAATCAGCTAGAACATTGATGAGGGCAAAGGCTCCACTCATTGTGCCAAAGCCGAGGCCAGATACATATGCCATTTCTAGTTTATTACTCCCAATGTTGTGATTTTCTGATATCTCCTTCAGACCAGCTTCCGTCTTTCTGAGCAGGACATACATGCCATATCGGAATATTTCCTGAAAAGGAAAAGTTATTTTATAATTATTATAAGAATGAATTATTCACATGATGAAAATGCCTGATATAGGTAGGTAGGTTTTTATAAGAGTCACCTGATACATGGCATTAGGTCAATTAAATGTAAAATATACTTTCACAATTTAGATAGATAGCTGTTTCTTATTTTGTCAGATTGATTCTAGTTAAAATTGAATCTAGCATTACGACTTTCTCTCATCTTTATAAAATAATAATATTCAATAAACAGAAATAATATAGTTGCATGATATCTTTGTGTTAAATATTTTAGAGGTTTCAGTATTATCACAGACAAAGAATGTGGACCCAAAACCAAAAGTTATTTTGTGTCTAAATGTATGGTAGCTGGGTCATTGAACATCTTCGGGGTGTTATAAATTCACCTCTTCCATTACGACATGTTATAATAATAGTTACTAACCTGGAAAATGATGGCAAAGACCATTCCAAACGCCAGGTACGATCGTAATGGCACAACTGCATACCACACTAAGGATGATAGTAAAAACGATAGTAGCCACCCAAATGCTGCTGCTATCATGATGATGATGCGGACGGGGTCATTGGCCACTGTGAACGCGAACATGACCAATGGAGCTCCAAAAGCAAGAAGCGAACAACTGAAGAATTCTGCGAGAGTCATCCTGACAGATATTTTACGGTTCCAGCGCAGTAAGCCTAACTTATACCAGCTAATAGCTGCTCACTGTAGTCACTGGATTAACTTAACACAGCTAACTAAATAAACAACATTTAAAGTGAATAAATTATATTTTTGCAAGGAAAATGAAATAAATCATGAATCACAGACAGATGCAGAGGCAGTTTGTCATTTGTCATTTTTGTCAATTGTCAGTTACAGTTTGACGTTCGTGAGTGACGTTTGATAATATACGTTCCGTTTTGTGCAGACGTAAAAAGCAACATTTACCTTTAATTTTATGTTTATTTGCTTAACTTTATCAAGCATATTCATTAAAAAAGTTATTGATTAACTTTATCTTAATCTTCGCGTTTTATTCACAGCTGGTTCTCATAATCTCATCTTGACATTTGACTGACAGTGACAGCTTTAAATAACCTCACTTTTGTAGTGTGATCGAATAAATCTTTATTTTGAAACATTTTATTTGCATTTCTGTGTAACTATGCCGCCGAAAGGTCCGAAGAAAACGTTATGGGTCGATTGCGAGCGTTGTGGTTGTAGCATAACCTCCAATGATAAGAATATACACGTTGAATTAAACTGTGGGAAAGATCAGTTGAAATGTCCTTACGTTGAGGACGGGAAGTTGTTTACCTGGCTTCAGAGGACAGGAGTGGCTCCTGATGGGGCTCCTCGCGACGCTGTGCTTGTGCACCCATCCGCGGGAACACTGATTGGGGCAGTTATCGGGTGCCCTTTACAGTTAAGCAGAGAAGGCGCCCCTATGATGGTGAAGCGAATGTGGCCATCCAAAGCGTCTGCTCCAGCCGCTGTTATTTTGCCAGCAGCTGGTAAGTTAAAGCATCTTTCTAGAATGTTGAATATAAATTTAGTACAAAGGAACCCAAACTCAGGGTGACTTAAGTCCCTTCATTATATGGGCAAATTATAAAATACTAAATAGTGATAAAGGTATCACTGAAAATAAATGAGTGTGACAATGAGACAGTTTAAGATGAATGATTGTTAAGCAGAAGTAACAGTGTTTAAAGGTAGTGTCACTTTATTTGCAGATCTATCCAGTGCTTGGAGCAATGACAGTATGAAAGTGACAGTCTCTGTAGTCCAGGAGGATATACCGAAGGTGTCTCGCATCACCGTCAGACTCAACAACCATAAAACTGAAACAGATATTTGTGATATTTTGAAACAGCATTTTTACAGTAATTTTGTTTGTAGTGGAAGCATTTTAGTTTATTACTATTTTGGTAAGAAACTAGAAATTGAGGTACTAGATATCAAATCTGAAATAGTAGATCATAAGGGTTGGTTTGTTCTAACTGAAAATAGTATTTGGAGCATGCACAAGGAAAGTGCTCCCAAACCTAAGAAAAAGGCACAAACTCTGGGCGGTGTTGATGATATTTTAGAAGAAATACAAACTTTTATCAAAATATCATTCAACATGGATGGCCTCGCAGCAAGCTTCCAGCCTACAAGAGGCTTGTTACTGTATGGTCACTCTGGAATAGGTAAGACAGCTATATGCAAATACTTAATAGAAAATCTCAACTGCTTCCATATAGAAATCAATGGCCCGGCCATCTTTAGTAAATATTTTGGTGAAACTGAAGGAACAATGAGGAGCCTTTTTGAAAAGGCTATGCAGAACCAACCAAGTATCATATTAGTTGATGAAATAGAAACTATATGCCCCAGGAGGTCTTCAGGCAGTACGGAGCAAGAAAGGAGAATTACCTCAGCCTTTGTGAACATGTTGGATAATCTACACTCGGAGAACAGCAGAGTTTTTGTACTAGCAACAACAAGGAAACCAGAAAACATAGATCCTATGCTAAGACGTTTTGGAAGACTGGACAAAGAAATAGAGATACCTGTACCAGACAGAATAAGGAGAAAAGAAATACTTTACAGTTTGCTCAAAAATCTCCCCAACAAAATATCTTCTGAAGATCTTGAGAATATTGCAGATTTAGCACATGGTTATGTGGCTGCAGATTTGGTGAATCTCTGCACGCAAGCTACCATGAAGTGCATAAAACGGTCCAGTGACTGCATTGAGCGAGATGATTTGATTGCAGCACTGACCATCGTCAGGCCTAGTGCTATGAGAGAGCTGCTCATAGAAATACCTAATGTTAGGTGGTCAGACATCGGCGGACAAGACGATTTGAAGCTTAAGTTACGTCAAGCTGTGGAATGGCCTTTGAAGCATGCCGAAAGTTTTCGAAGACTCGGTGTCAGGCCTCCAGGTGGTGTCCTACTGTACGGACCACCTGGCTGCTCAAAGACAATGATAGCCAAAGCTTTAGCTACCGAGAGTGGTTTAAACTTCCTCTCTATAAAAGGTCCGGAACTATTTTCAAAATGGGTCGGCGAATCTGAGAGAGCTGTCAGAGATTTGTTTACGAAAGCTCGTCAGGTTGCGCCGTCTATTATATTTTTTGATGAAATGGATGCGATAGGAGGGGAGCGAGGAGCAGGCGAGGCTGGTGTACATGAGAGAGTTTTGGCTCAACTACTGACAGAGTTGGATGGCGTGGTGCCATTGAACTCGGTGACAATATTGGCAGCAACTAATCGTCCAGACAGAATGGACAGAGCGCTCCTCAGACCAGGTCGCCTGGATCGATTGATTTACGTTCCCCTTCCAGATTTCGAAACACGATTACAAATAATAGAGTTAAAATTAAACAAAATGAGTGTTAGTGATGATGTTAACTCTCATGTGTTGGCTACAAAGACAGAAGGGTTTTCAGGAGCTGAGCTGCAGGCTCTCTGTCATGAAGCTGCTCTAAGAGCTCTCGAGAAAGATTTGGATTGTCCAGAAGTGACTATGGAGCATTTTGAACATGTGCTTAAAGATTTTAAGCCAAGAACTCCCGAGTCTCTGTTGAAGGTCTATCAAGAATTTGCTTTGGGACAGAAATCTGGATGATTGAATTGAAAAGCTAATAATATTAAGTCTAAAAAGTGTGATGTGTGCATTTTATAACTTAAGTATGATTAATAATAAGTGCCTTAATTTCTAAATCATTTATTTAATAAGAATACTTACAGCTATTTGTATAAATTAAATATTAAATCTAGTCCTTATTTTAATCACATCAACTTTAATAATACATGTTTTATTTCGATATCGGTTTTTAGATTAAAATAATAAATTGCTCACATCTGGCATTTAATGAAAAAGATGTGGTAGTTTTTTTTATTAAAAGTTTGATACTGAAAAATTTGCTTTTTATTTTAAATAAGAATCCTTTTTTCACTAAAAACGTAAGTCCTATAACATTTTAGCGTTTCTCTGATTAAGACAGTCAAACAATATTCGTTCATATAATTAATTTACTATCTGCCCATCAATTTGGCTCAAGTCAGATACTATTAAGATACAAATAAATACAATAAAAGATAAATACATACAAGAACAATCCTACACACATGGGATTTACAGCACAATAGGTTTTGTCAGGTCGCCAAATATTGGCGTAGCTAACAAAATATGCGAAAATATAATGTGATCCTAGTATAGTTTACACAGAATCTGTTTTACGTTTAACGTAATCGAAACGAGTACGCTTTCGACGCTCTGATTGGCCGACTCAAAAAAATCAACCAATCAGAGCCCTAGTCCATCCCCCTCCGATTACTTTCGTAAAACAAACTTTTACTAACCAACCAATCGGTGATCTCTCTCTCCAATCTCAATTCAACACTTCGTCAATTTAAACCTTTTCTTATTAGCTACGCCAAGTAATCAGCAGTTACATAAATGCAAGTTTACTCTATGGTTTCTAATCAACTAACACAGATTGTCTTTATATTGACACACGTACTTTATTAATAAATAATTAAGTACGCAGCGCTTATTGTCGCTTATTACGAATGCTCAACTACGGCGAATGGTATTATTATTAATGCAACTTTTAGGGACTTAATACCTACTTAAAAAATGTTATTTTTTACATTTATTTATTTATCTACATTTCATAGGGAAAGGGCTTTTGGTCAACCTGATTTTAGGCCCTATTTCCTAGTAGATAAAGGTTAAATTCCACAATCAAGAGCGAATGGAAACAAAATAATGTGTAGCCAGGGGATTCAAGTCTTTCATTGACAATAAAAAAAAATATTAATTTCTTTAGTTAAATAATTTTTAAAACGATTTCGTCTGTTTCCTCCTAGCTACATAATTTATGGTAGTAAATAAAAAAGAAATACAAATAATTCAATTTGTATGCCTGGAAGGGGGACGTTCGAAAATAGATCTGGCTAATTGCAAAGCCTCTAAATATTGCCCCGTCAAGAAATACAAACAGTAACTTGTATATTATTTTTTTATAATTTTTAAATAAAATTTGTTATGTCGTAAAATTTAGAAATGTTAATTTTTCCTTCAGTCTTTTGATAAAGAGATGATAACATTCAATTATTAGGTTCACGATCTAATGACGGTGGTTCACAATTTACCGTCACTTTCAATATAATTTTTATGTAAGTTTTGCTAAGAAAGTCGGTTGTATTACAATACTATACAAGTTCATAATTATTATTATTACCTATACCCAATCATCAGTCGACATCAAACAAATTACTTCTCTTTAACCGACTTTCAAAGCTGACTATACATAGTTCATGATTTTCAAAAACCAGATTATAATATGGTTGACTTTAACCAAGATAAACACAGGCGGTATAGTTCATAATGTTAGGGTTTGTGGTCTTTTATAGACTTACAAGACCGATGCTCATAAATTCAAAGTATCGTTATGTATATAACCAAGTGAAGTTATCGCCTACAATAAGTGACAGTGTACCACAAGTAAGCGCAGTTGGAAGTCATGGGAACAATGGTGAAAAAATAATGGACATGTATTTATCCCTACGACAGATTGGTTTGAAATATCACGATGTCACTTCTATGTACAAAATACTTAGATAAAAAAAATACCAGAAAAAGCTACTTGAAACTATAAAAATGGTTTCCAGCCTTAAAAGACCAAGAAAATAGGGTTGAAACTACAATGAAGAAAATTAATTTGACAAAAGATGGATCTATGATATTTGATTTGATATCTTACAAGAAAGTCGTGTTTGTTGCACTATTTATAACTCAAGAACGGCTAAATTAATTTGGATAAAAATTGGTGGGGAGGTAGCTTAGAGCCCGGAGACGGACACCAATATCTTTGTTATTTTTTAACTTTTTACCAAACGGGAACGGGAAAAAACGGGATTGCGCGTACGAAGTCGCGGGCAGAAGCTAGTTTATACATAGAAATGACATAGTACGTTTATGTCGTCAATGGACCCAATTATACGTCTAATATTTTTACTTTTCCTTTCTACATTATCATTCCCATTGAAGCGGTGGTAAGCAGGTGTATAGGGGGGCTCGTTAATGTATGGGGTACCGCTTTGGTACAAACACCGATCTAACTACAAGTTAATCAGATCATCGTGGTTCCTGGTACAAGGAGAATGTGGAAATTTAAGTTATTTTCATGAGTTATTTTTGTTGCAACATACATCCAAGTCATTCAACTCTCCATAGAAGGTTGAATGTTTATTACTCTATAGGTCAAAAACTGCTGAACAGATATAACTCGCCGAGTACCGTATTTATAGACACAATTAAAGAACAATAGGTTGCGGTCACCGGTGATCGCTTGGTGTTTGACAGTTTAATGAAACATGAACAGATAGACATTATACTCATGCGGAAAACAGTAAACCGATTTGAATATAATAATAACTATTTTCTCAAAATAATATTTTAACTATTTTCAACATGATAGACAGAAGTTTGCTTACCTAACAGCTGCGGCTGGGTTTAATGCTGTGGGTTGCAGTGCAACTTACGTCATCAGTGACTTCATCACCACAAAAACAAATCGCAAAAATAACAATCTCCATTATCCTTAAACACCAGAAACCAATAGCATCTTGACGGTTCTTAAACGCGCAGTATCTCAGTATGTCTGTTGTAGCAGATGGCGATCCAGTCAGGCTGCGTGGCGCCCCACTGTATCTGGTTGACCTCCCCCTCGGCGGCCGTGTATGCCAGGATGGGGTCCTCGATGGCGCGCGGCATCTGCTGGATGTCCCATATTAACGCCTGGTGGTCGTCGCCCGCGGTGCAGATGTGGCATGAACTGGAAGGAAATTGTGGTTTAATGTCATATTTATTATTGTACTTTGGATGTGTAGGCTTAGGTTATTATTATTACATAAGGGTCATTTTTGTTAGAAATATTATTAGAGATGCCGAGAATAATTTTAGTTTCCGTGTTGTCTTCCATCTGTCTTTAAGTTAACTTGCTTAGCAGTCGAGCTGACAATTGTTAGACCAAAGAAAATATATTTCTTCTATGAGTTTGGATAAGAATTAAACTGACCTTAATGACTAATAAATGCAAGGGACATTCACCAAGTTTACATAAATGACACATTAAATATGTCACCAAAATTAAAAACCTGCAATAACGTACCTATGCGGCGCCCAGGCGATGCCGTTGACGCAGGCGCGGTGGTTGTTGAGCCTGGCGACGGGCGTGCAGGGGACGCGGACGTCGAGTATGATGACCTCGCAGGCGTCCATGGCCACCGTGGCGAGGTAGTTCGGGTCCTGCTTGTTCCACGCCAGCCGGAGCAGGGGCGTGTGTTGGGGGTCCTGCGGACATAGGAGAACAGTGTTAATGAGTCGGCGACAGTAGAACCCCTTTCTTATCTTTTTTTAAATGGGAATGTCATCCAATGGCTTGTCCCGCCCGGGTGAGGTGTCAGGGAGTGTCGGACTCTTATTTTATTTATTTATTTATTCGAAGGAGTACGGCCACATCACAAACATATAGCATTCAAAATACACAAAAGTAACAAAATAAAGGTCTGATGCATGCGACAATAATGGCGTACATAGCATTGGCAATTCATAGGCTTAACAGTGGCATAAAAATAAAATCCAATTTGAGAATTATGGAAAAGAAAATAACAACAATAATCCACCCTCCACCCAATAATCAATCCTCTTACAATTATTAATTATTGTGTTACCTCATAAATTATAGTGGAGTGTTCGAGATGTCTCAGGTCGAACATCCGTACAGAGCCGTCAGCTCCCACCGACGCGAACATGTCGCGTCCACCGCCCGCGCGACTGAAGGCGATGTCGTACACCTCCTGCACGAACCAAACGAGATTAGGTTAGTTATGGATCCCTGGCAAGATCTAAGTGTTGTTAAGTCAAAATCAAAATAAAAATGTTCGCCAGACAGTCAAATAGTAATTAGTTACTCGTTAGAAAGTACAAATGGAACAAAACCAAGCAAGAAACTCCATTCGATCTTTTTTAAGAAAATGATTTCCAAGTAAACAATTACTTTATCAATTATTATGTTTTCGGCTTACTCACGTAATAATTTGACGAGGAACTGAGTAGGAGCGCGACAGTCGCCAATGCTGCTCATGAATATGAGCCTCTAGCATGGCTTGAAACTAGTCGAGTTCAAATTATTACGTGAGAAAGCCGAAAACATAATAATTTATTTAGTACTAGCTTTTACCCGCGGCTTCGCTCGCGTCACAAAATAATAAAAAGTAGCCTATGTGACATATACCAATACACACAGCGCCATCTATACCAATACTTTTGTTTTTCCTCGGGAATATCAATTTTTCCGGGTTAAAAAGTACCCTATTATTTAATCCGAAATTCTAACTTTACGTCTGCAAAAATTCAAAGCAATCGGTTGAGTAGTTACGGCGTGAAGGTGGAACAAACCAACAAACAAACAAACTCACTTTCAGATTTATAATATTATAGTAAGGAAGTAAGGATGTCTCACGAAAGTTACAATACAAGAATTACTACTGTATCAAACCTTTTCAAAAACTAACAAAACACTGTTAATAAAGTCACACCCTACCTTATCATGTGCAATTAGTTGTGTCTTCACATGGCCAGACACCTCGTTGACCCTGCCGAGCACCTGTCCAGTCTCCAGTCCCCATATAGTGCAAGTTGTATCAATGCTACTGGTGCCAATGAGGTTAGGGTCCACTTCATTCCAGTCAAACGATGTGAGCGGGGCACAGAAATCTGAGTTCTTATTGTTGTTCAGTACACATTCGAAGAGAGTGTATGGTTCCCCAGCACGCCAGATGCGAAGGTAATCACCTGGAAGATGTGTTTAGTTAGTGGTGTCTGGTAGGTAACATCATCATCATCAACAGCCTATAAATGCCCACTGCTGAGCAAAGCCTCTTCTCACACGGAGAAAATTTGAGCATTAATCGCTACGCTTGCTCAATGCGGGTTGGTGATTACAAACTTATAATTAGAAATTATAAGCCTAGGTTTCCTCACGATGTTTTCCTTCACGGTTTGTCAGTGGTGTCTCGATAATCTTAGAAAGTACATATTGGTAACTCGGAGAAAGTCACATTGGTACTTGCCGTTGGTAGGCTTCGAACCCCTACCCTCACGCATGAGAAGAGGGCGTCTTAAACTTCCGGGTCACCACAATAGATAACATGGATAATTGGATAGGTGTAATTTTGTTTTTCTTGATGATTTAATGCTGAGGTTTTTGTTATAAAGAAAATCTAAATAAATAATTTATAGCTCGTGGTTTAGAGCTCCGGTAAGGTTCGAAACTGGTCGGGTATGTTCGATAAATTATAGTTAACGCCGAAAGTTTTAATCTTTGACACCAAAATCATTATTTCATTGTTGCAGTCTTTATCACCAAGAACAGACTTTATAGGTCAGAACAAAGCTTGACAAATTATAGCAATTGCGTAATCAAACGAAGCGATTAATCAAACTAGCAAACCAGTACTAACTACACTGGTTTGCTAGTTTGATTAATCTCACTCCTTAACTTTTTATTTGACAAATTCTTTTTGTAAATAAAATTAATACTTCTTTTGTAAACTACGTTTAAAAAACCTGACTTCAATCCCCTCTTTTATAAAGTCAGTTAATTATTATACTATACCCTTCTCCTAGGTGTAACAAACACTTTTCTGGAAACTGCATCAAAATTGGTTCAGCCAATCGCGAGATAATCGTGCCCATTCATACATACAAACAGGTCGAACTGAGAATCTCCTTTTTTGTTTTTGAAATCGGTTAAAAACTCAACATAATTGTTTCTATATTATCTTACAGTAGTATTTATTTATTATGGAACAAAGACTTACCACTGGTCGCCAGTAGGTCAGGGTAGACTCCCTTGCTGTCTGGGATCCACATGATCTTAGTGGTGGGGTATGGGTGGTCGAATGTGCTCTTGGCACTAAACTCACTCGTCTCCTCATCTAGAGATATTATTTGTACCTGTGGATACAAACATATATTACAATCATACTTTTCTTATCATGGTCTAATGCTAGACATACACCTCTTTTGTGGTCTTCTAGAATGTAATTGTAATTAAATTCTGACTTACGCTTGATACCAATCTCAATATCAATGCTATTTCAGTCCAATAATTTTTTAATGTCAAAACTATACAACCCCTATTGTAAGTAGCTGTTAAAATAACATCCAGAGTACGGAATATAAAACCAAATTCAATTCCTTTAGGTCATTAAATATCCACGCAACAACTCAAGAGTATGCAATTTCACAATACAAATGTCGATCGATCAGAATTGAATTCAAGAATAAGCCTAAGCCCCTAGGTCACAGGTTTCACTCACCTTGTTATTATATTCTTCAACAAAGCTACCAAGTGCGAGACGGAACCGTTTGTCAGGTCGTACAGACCAGTTCATTGAGTACAGCGGCCATGGTGCCTGGTATCTGAGAACAATAATATTTTGTAGGTAAACTATGATATGGTACAAATCAGCATTTAAAGATGCTATCTGAGGTATTGATCAACAGGTTACTCAAGAGAAAATGGACATTTTTACATACTTTATTAGGTATTATTTTTTAATAATCCCAATTCAAATATATTTATAACCAATTCTTAAATAGATTCAACCAAATGTCAGTATTTTACATCAAGTGACTACCATAATACATTCCATATTTTTTATCTTAGCTTATGGTTATACCCATAGAGCAACACGGGCCACCGGCGGACCGGAGGGGAGTAGCCATACGCAGGCGTTCCCCTCTGTCAAAGTATAAGTCCAAATGGTCCTATGCGTACAATAAAACTAGTTGCAACTCAACTGCTCACCAGACTAAATCTAGTTGCGTTAGTGAGTCGACGGCGTCGTAAAAATGTCGAATTGTTCTGTTTTTTGCTGCAAAAAGAGATCTGCCACGTCAAATTTACAAAAACATGGTGTTACCTTTCATATTAAATAATTTTTAATTACATTATTGCTATTTACTTCTTATAAACTTAAAAAAACTACAATATTATCAATCGTCTTGTTTCGGATTAGTTTACCAACAAATCCGTGCGTCCTCATACAAAACGCGGATCAGTCGAGCGACAGATCCGAGTTTTTTTCCTAGAATTCGCTGTCGCCGAGCGATAGCGTTGTTGCCGGTTTGTTTGTAGATAGTTATCGATAAAAATGTAAAAGGTGAAGTCAAATGTGAGATTTGTTGGGATTAAGTTTTTTGATTTAAATAAAAAATACTGAGTGAGAACTTCAACTATATTTATTATTATTATTATTTTATTTATTTATTGCAGATTTCCTAAAGATCCAAATTTAAGAGATACATGTAAGACATTTTGTTATAACAGACCAACCTGGGTTTCCCACAAGAAATATTGCCATTTGCTCAAATCTAGATGAATTAGCAAGATTAATAATGCAAAAGTATACTGATACAATAATTTCTAACTTATTTAAAAAAAAACAAACCCCCAAAAATGTATTCGTCATATTTATAGAAAATTAATCTATTTTAAAAACCAGTTATAGTTCCGTATCAGTATTTCATCACTGGTTTTTAAATGGGATTAGTAATTTAATTTATTTTAAAAAATGAAAATTTTATTTTTTATAATTATCTTGTCTGATTATTGTACTAGTAGGTAGTTAAGGGTATAATAATTAATTAGGTATAAAAAGGGTATAATAATTAAAGTCAATAATAATATCTGTCTTTGAATAAATTTTTAAAGCTGATTTGCTTAACGGAGTTCTTGAATTTATCGATAATGCGTATCGATAATTGTTACAACTGCGGGTGTAAGTGTAGTTGCGTCATATTATTACACTATAACGACAGGGATTGTTTAAATGTGTGTGTGAAATTGTCAGTGTATTTTTCAATTGTCATAGTGTGAGTTTCGTAGTGACATAGAATGTTTTTGTGTGAGAATTTGAGAATGTGTGATTTCCCCCCGCAAAAAATGACAGACAGTTTTGTATCGGTGTATAACGCAATGGCTACTCCCCTCCGTGTTGCTCTATGGGTTATACCACATCCTTGGTAAGATCTATTGTCAGATTATATCAGTGACATAAACATAGGAGTTAATTTGAATACATAATGTTGAGTGGTCTTGACATTTTGTTGAGATTACATTGCCAATAGGCACAAGCAGTTTGCCATATGTAACTTATGAATATCACATACCAGTGAATATTAAGAAGTTTATGCTTAATCTGTTTCTGTTATCAGTGGCAAATAAACTTAGTATGTACTCATTATGGTAATTTCAATATTATAACATGGACTTTGATTCACATGGTGATAACAATGCATGTGGTGTCAAACTTTTTAACTTTATTTGCTGTAATTGGAAGTACCATGGAGTTTTTATCACTTACTTGTATATCTCCTTGCGTTTTGTACTAGAACTTGTCGTGCTTGAGCTGCTATGTGGCATCGACATTATGAACTTAGATTTTTATGCCTGTAAAACCAAAAACCCTAATATTATCATGTATTGCTTATCTACATAAAGTAATCTAATTAGTAGAACACATTAGGTAGTAAAAATGTTAACAATTACTATTTAACAATTCTCAAGACCCAAACAAATACTTTGTAAAAGAATAGCGAATTGAGAACACAATATTGTTAGGAAACAAACCTCGTTCTGTACTGAAATTAGCACTTTATAGAAGGTTCTAATACATGGGTAGTATTAGCACAGGAAGTTGTAGTTGTTTAATTAGGACAAAGCCTATTTTCTATCTTTATTTATAAACTAAATTCCATGTGAAACGAACGAAAGCATTATTTTTACAATTTTGACGTGAACAATGACATTTAATTGTAGTGTTGCTACTTTATTGTTGACATTGTTTAATGGTTATTGATTTTTTAATGTTGCCATTAATATAGATTGAACCGATTGAACTCCGTTGCGTCGAGAGTAGGCACATTCGTATATAGTATGTAAAATATTAAAATACAATATAAAATATTTTACAGGTTTATAGTTTTCTTTCATTTACAATTTTATCACTAACCTTCTACGAAAATTGATGGCGTCTACCATGGCGCCTTCAATAATAATAATATCGCCTATAGTGATCTAATATATCAAGCACACATTTGCAACAAACTAATACAACTTAGCAGGCGTTCTCGAGGATGGTAATACATTGCTGAGAGAAGTCTGAGAAGTTAACTAATATTTTGTTTGCATACGGATAAAACTTTAAAATAGAAATGAGAAAGTTTTGGAGGTATATTCGTAAGGTCGTACATACTACCTATATGTATCTAAGGACTTTGCTTCCATAACTAAATTTTATTTTCATCAGAAATACAAGGCGACAATGAACTGGAACTGATTGAATAATAGTTACATTCAATAACTTTCAAGTTTATAGCCACCTGAAACTATTCCACTTTATAAACTACTCAAGCACTTCATGACTATTACTCACGAACAGAATATGAATTGTATTGTTATACTTAATATTAGTCATATAAATATGAATTTTGACCTATATTCCTTTAAATATTTCAGATGTGTGCCTTGCATTCTTTATTTATTATACACACGATTACTGGGTTGCCAGATCAAAAGAGTTCCACTTAATAAGGTGAACTTGTAGGAAGATATTGTGATTAGACGATCTATATTTTTAATATCATAGTTGTTTACATATTTTATATTAGAATTGCTGTCGGTACTGGTGTCAGTTTTGGAAAGAAAACGAGCAGACAATGATGTTTTTTAAAATCTTTAATGAAACCTATATAATTAGATTAATGACCTACATTTATCGAATTCTATAGAGATAATCTCTAAACTGAATACCCAAAATATTTACTAGATTTTGCAAAATAAACTCTTGTCATTGCGGTATTTCCAAATTCCATGTGGCAATTCATGGCTCAACTGGCCTTATCAATTCAGAGCGCATGCGCATAGCTCCGGTTAAGGACATCGCTTTCTTTCTTACGTCAACATTCGTTTAGGGACTCATGATATAATTAGTTGCGCAAGAGTCGCTCGCCAACGCGGTCTAATGTACTCGTAGATCATAATAATATCAGTTATGATTTCAAATGATCGTAACGTAGGGACGGGTGACGACACAACTAAATTAATGGTTTTCGGTTTCCGGCGCGGTGTTTGCTTGTGACTGTTGTAGTCAAGCCTGCAGAATAAAGGCTTTAACTCATAATAACTTTTAAGCGTGGGAGAGCCATGCTTCGGCACGAATGGGCTGGCTTGACCGGAGTGATACCACGGCCGAGCTGAAAACTGACGTGAAGCAACGCTTGCGTTGCGTTTCGTCGTGTGAGTGAGGTGACCGGAGGCCCAATTAAAAAAAACCCTGAATTAGGATCGAAGGACCACAAAGAATTAAATTGTAGCACAGCTGCTAGTGCCCAATCATTGTGCTTAAGTATGGAGTTGATCTTCCATTAATATGCAATCGTAACAAAATGTTAATCAAAGTTAATGTACGAGGAATAGATAGGTGTTTTACAGGGAACAATATTACGGCTAGAACCAGTGGCGTAACTACTCGGTGGTAAGTCGGCAAAATGCCTCCAGCTAGAGGCCCTGTTCAGAGATTTTCATCTATTTTTATTGGAAACGGGGGTCCATCCGATGAATTTGCTACGGGCCCTACACGGTGTAATTACCTCTTATTGAATACAAACCGAATACTTCCTATTTAGACAGTAATTGTCCTGTGAAGAGTACGAAATGGATTGTACCTCTATACTTTATAAGTTTTGTGTATAATTATAGGCGACATCCTTAGTAAATGGTAGGACTAAATAAAATACTGCATTATTGCACCTAGGTGTAGGTATTGTAGGATCCTACACGAAGTAGGCTTGTGGTTAAGTTATTTCAATAAGTTTGATAAAAAAGGGAAATGTAGTAAAAGGTATGCAATGCAGTGGTAGCTGAAGGCCGAGCAGCTTTGTCAGGCTTGCAATAATTGTGCATAAGCACATGTAGGTCTATTGTGCAAGCGTTGAGTAATAAATTGGAAAAGCTTTTAAGTCAGGTGCTTTGAGAAAGTTGTTTAAATTGTAGAAGTAAAGAATTGCAATTGGGTACCAACTAAACAAGGTTTCCTTTCAACTAAGTTTTTTAATGAAGGACTTTGTAGTCTCTTTATTACGAGATTAGGTTTCTATTATCCTCTTAGGAGCATAGATGAATTCTTCTTACGGTACCGGGTTTGGGTTAGCATCAAATCACGGTCACGACCGTACGGACGGTAAAAATAAAGTGTTTCCAGATTTAAACATGATTTTTGTTTAAAAAAAATTTTGAGCTGTTTAATTCCTGAACTTTAGTTCACACGAATCAAAGTACACACTCAGTTGAGGATCGTTCGTGGGAGGACACATAAAAATTTAATTATCGTACATACATTATATTTAAGTACCAAGAGAAAATAAGACGGATATTTGATTTTAGAAAGACGAAGAAAGTTTTATTAGGTAGTTCTTAAATATACATAATTACAAGCTATTATATTATAGGATTTCCTAGAAGTAAGATTTCCTGCTTTTAAGTGTGGGAGAGCCATGATTCGGCACGAATGGGCCGCCTCGACCGGAGTGGTACCCATGGCCTCACAGAATCCCGACGTGAAACAACGTTTACCTTTTGTTTCGTCGTTTGAGTGAGGTTACTGGAGGCCCAATTGTTCCCGTCCCCAATCTCCCCATTCCCCGAATTTCCAATCCTGAAATTCCTAACCCCGAACCCCCAAAAGGTCAGCATCAGCAATGCACTTGTAACGCCTCTGGTGTTTCGGGCGTCCACGGGCGGCGCCAATTGCTTACTATCAGGTGATCTGTCTGCTTGTCTACCGGCTTGTCCCATAAAAATATTCAATTCTGCGTCTTATAATAACCAAATAAACTGCTTCCATCATTATATTCCATAGAACTGGTACTGATAATATCTTTAACCTTTACATTTGTATGAACTTTATAATATTTAACCGGTGGGCCGTTAAATAAAGGAACTGTCTGGGTCTGTTATTGGGCTCTGTTTATTTACTTTATATTCAATAGTATTGTAAATTCTGTGAGTACCTAGGTATCTTCTTAGCACCTAGCTTTATATAGTTTAAAAATATTTTCTAACGACACTCACGTTATGGAAGAAGCCTCCTTACGCGGATTTCCAGAAGAGCATAGAGCATGAAGTTCTTAAAAAAAGTTCTTCTTCATTTGCGATTCACGCATATAGAGGTACTGTCGCAGGAGTACATAGGCTACGATGGCCCATTCCCAAACGGCTTGTAACCTTAGTTGTAGGTACCTATTTAAAAAAATTGAGTGTCATTCACTTTAAATTTTTCACGGCATTCATTTAACATCTATGTCTGAAAACCTGAAAAATTCATTTTGCATGCTTTTACAACACCAGCATAGAACGCAAGCAGCCCATTCATCGTCCAACACTCCGACCGGTAGGTCAAGGTATCTCAGTAGGTTAGTTAATAGCAGTCTTTTGTCCGGCCCATAATATATACCATTCGTCATGTTTTGACAACTCACACGCACTTGAAAGGTTAATATTGAATAGTAACTGGTTAGATTAACTTTTTATTAAGTTATTTGTATTGTTCTGAGAAATCACTGGGTTTACCTTGATATGATTGGTCGCTGAATTGTTTAATTGGCGTGTGTAACGTGATCTGTATTGTGTCACGGATCAAATAGGATATTATGAGAATTAGCATTATACAGACTAAGCTACTTATTTGTTGCTATATAGTGAAAAATGTTCAAAAACTTTTTGTTTCCTGCTACTTTTTTTTTAAGGACAAGCCCGCTGCAACCTCCCAATACCGCTGCAACTCCTGTAAGCCAGGATCTACAGTAGATACAACTATGAAAACACCGGTACACTGAAGTCCGGCGCGTCCCAGGGATATGAATAACTGTCTTTGTTAAACTGCTACTTAAAAGCTAGCTGCTACATACCTGCTACTTATAAAGTTACTAGGAGCCTTGTTTTTACAATAACTATCGTAAGACATAGGAACTCAGGAAGAGTCTGAGTAAGTTGTGAGACATCGCCGCGACCGCGCACGCTGCTCATGAGGAAGAGTCCCTCTGTGACTCGAAATTAGTAGAGCTTTACTCAGTATATTTACGTGAGTAACTCGTAATTTTTAGTTAATTACTAGAAGCCTGTAATACACAGAGATGACTGTGTCCAACTCCAAGAACATAAGTCGTAAAATTGCGGTCTAACTTGTAAGTTATCGTTAATCATGTCAGTCATGTTATCGTTAATCTGCTAAATTCACGCAAAGCTATTGTTTGGGTTAAATTTATTTATTTTTATTACAGAAAATTCAACAGCTTATTTAGTAAATGCTACATCTATAATAATGACAAGGCATGGAAACTTAAGCCAATAACAGAGTTTTCAGCATGCGT